CTGAACCGGAGATCAGTTGAAGAACTATTTTACAAAACAGACAGACTTTAAAAAAGGCATAATTCAAAACAGAATTAAAAATATCACCTAAGGAAATTAGTACAAGTAAGAGTAAACTCATCATTAACTTACACAAGATAAAATAAAATAAAATAAAATGAAAGTATGATCATTCACGTGACAATTGCATCAGCTGATTCCATGGAGTAACGTACGCAAAATACAATTGTATACCCTGTCTTTAAGATATGCATTTTATATAGAAACCTCATCATTCACATACTAGTGAAAAATCAAACCCTAAATATGCAGCTTCTAGTGGTATATTATGTAGTCTCAAAAAAAACCTAAATTAAAACATAGCAAGTGAGTTCACCACTCATATACAATTATTTACAGTCTAGAAATTTGAGTTCTCTGCTTACCCACTGAACAAAGAACTGCAATGAAAAATTTCATATGTTTCTACTAACATAAACTCTTCTTAAGTTAGAGGTTCATGCTAAGGGAGGAGAGGGCAATTTTGACTCTGTATCCAGTCAGTCTTACAATCAAAAACTGCACGGATCTCAGCACAAATTGTACTGGCCGGCCACAGGAAAAACTAAGCCTTTTTCTCTAGCTTTTTCCCCACATTACGTGATCAAAAATGTACATAGGGCTATGTAAAGACCTCAATGCTGTACTTCAGTAAAAGCTACAACTTCAGCTCCCACTTCTCATTTCAGGTATCAAGGCAGGATAAACAATTTGAACTGTCACCTCATCTGGACTAGTTAACTTACTGAGCCTGTATGTCATTCCAAGGGTTTGAACTACAATACCTCCCAGCAGCACTGCCTCTAGCAGACAGCAGCAAGGAGGAGTGTATAAATTCATCCTGGTATCCGTTTCATTGAAATTCCTGTATTTATGAAGATGAGCTAAAAATATTTGTGGATACTTTGACATGTTAGTTACAAGGCAGCATTTCTAAGCCTCCTTTATGAAAAACACACAATGGTGAAATGAATCTGTTTAGACACAGATAGTAATTCGTCAGACTTTTTGAAAACCTGTTACATAATAAAATAATGGAATTAAGAAAAAGGGGGGAAAAAGAGTGCCTAGAAGCAAAGTTCCATGAAGGTATGTATGATTCTGTGAACAAGAGGTCCACACAGAATCCAAAATCCACGCGGCCACCCAAGAATAACAGAGCAGAATTTGATCAGATCCTTCTGTTTAACATATTTCAAAGCCTACCACCTAAGAGCAGCAAGACATAGCCAAGCATCTTTTGTTCATTTAATGTCAGAGACATGAAATACTTGCAATGTACAAGCACTGGAAGATTTAGGGGTAGTCTCAAGGACCACTGACATACACATCTTTGCTAGTACAATATGATGAGCAGAAATGATCCCTGGGAGATGTTTGTCAGTCTCTGGAGTCTTTATGAAAGACTTCTACATTTACAGTTACAGTGCTCAGCACTGCTATTTACAGTCTAAAAGATATTTTTATGGTTATGGCTCAAGGTGGTTTTGGTCTTTCGCTAGACAGGCTAAGAAAGAGGGAAAAAGACAATTAGAGAGGAAAAAAAAAAGGAAGAAAAAAAAAAAAGGTAGGCATCTGCTTAGGTTTACACATGATGAAAACCTGGCCCTACTGAGATCTTCACCTTTGACTTCATGCATGGTATTAACATTTGAATACATTTCAGAGCCAGCTTTGTAATGACTGAAAGTTATAGTATATGCTGAAAGTTAATATGAGAGGTAAAGTTACTATAGAAGGCAAAATAATGAGGATTACAGCTGAACCTGATGTCTATGAGCTTATTAGAGAAAAAGCCCCTGAAAAGGAAAACACTTAAGACAAACCAGGATGAGAAATTCATATATGATAGCCTTGTTCCTGAAAACATTTGGAAAGGGCACACCTATTAGTACAAGTAATGGTGTTTATATCAATGATAGAATTACGATGTGAAAATAACCCTCAATTTTAAAATCTTCTGACTTTAAAGTACATGGTATTTCTATGTTAAAACAAGGAATTTTTGCACTCTACCTGACATGTTCTTAAGAAAATTCTAACAAACAGTAAAACAAAAAAAAATTTTCACCTTTTCTTTTTTTAAATATGAGATACTTACCATACTTCAAGAGACAACTCCAATGTCATTTCTGTGACCTAAACAAGAAATACTTAAATATGATTATACCACTTACAGAGGGGAAAAAACAAAAAACACACCTGGAACATAAACTATTACCATCAGAATTTTTCTTTAAACCACTTTTTTTAAAAAGGAGGACATTTCTGAAATACATGAATGAGTTCTTTTCTATGGAACTTTTTTTTTTTAAAAAAAGTACACAGTGTGATTCCAAAATACATCACTAGAACTGAATACAGTAGAAAATACTGCTAGGTGCTACCAGGTCCTGACTTTCATTCATCAGATCCCATTGTCTTGGTTTTCTTCCACTGATAATCACTTTTTGACAGTGCAATTCATCTTTGGCTTGAAGGGATCTAATTGTCTTCACACACTTATGATCCTTTGTTTATACTGCCAGCCACAGTCTATCTGCCACTTTCTTCCCAGTTCACTGGGTAAAAGTCATACTCAACTTGTATCTGAAACAGACTTGTAAGGGAATGACTGCTCTGTGTTCCACATGACCCACCAAGTGTCTTTCCACAGTTAAACACACTTAAATTATCTATCAGGAAGAGTGATTGCTTACAAGTTTCTGAAAGATGCAAATAAACTAATAAATGTCACTACATAATGATTTCGCTTACAGACCACGTAGAACTACCTGACCCATAAGCTATGGATTGGTCTCTTCTGCCTTTAACAGGGGCTGCCTGCAGGCAAAAGGTTAAAAAATGATGGTTAAAGCACCAATTGCATGTTAAGCAAATCCAAGAATTGCTAGAACTAAGAATGGACAGGCATTTTAACCTCCCTGAGCTCTCTCATGTGCAATGGCCACCAACACATTGGTACAGCCTTGTAGGGGTGTAAGAGACTCACACACAGTGTCTTGTTTCAATCTGCCTCTAGCTATAAACAGATTATCCTCCTCATTTGTGGTATGTGATTGCTGGGAATGGAGCTAGAACAACTCAGACTGAACATCTGCTTGACACTTATACAGAGTAGCTAAGGATACAGAAGTGCAAAGCTATCTCTGGCCTCCCACATCTCGTGTACCTGCCAATCAGCCAGGTAGAACCTGGCACTCCACTCCTGCCTTCTGAAATGGGAATTGCAAATGAGGTAGCGTATTAACAGGGTAGTGGGAGAAAGAAAAGGCAAAGAAATAATGAAGGAAGAACATGAAGAAACAGACTGAAGAGTCATTTACGGAAATACTTCAAAGACAGGGTAGTAATTACATTATTCCAGCACCTGATATTACTAATTTAGAAAGCACTCAGAAACTACACAGTGATCCAATGACTGAAAAAAATGTACAGTATCAAATAAACACTTGGAGTGAAATGTTCCAACAGAGAAATAGCATGCCATTTTCTATACCTCATACAGACAACCACAGAAATCTCAGGAATACATTCTGTATACAAATTGTCTACATTGGGCTCAACCTGACTTGATGTTCCCTTACTGTTTGCTTATAAATTTCAGAGTGTATTTGGCTTTTTTCACTGATTTTTTCCCCCTGTATTCTCTACCAGCTTTGCTGAGTGCTGTTAAGACGTCAAAGCATACCTGTAATGTGGCAAGGCCTTGTATTATGGCATGAGCTTTGTAAACTGTGTTTTCAAAATTTATTCATCAGCTCCTTCTCACTACCTCACCTCGTACCTAGCAGAACCAGGCCTCTGCAGTCAGCCTACACTCTGGAAAGTCCAAGAGTTACTGAAGCACTTAGTGAAATAAATATGCAGAAACTTCAAAAAATGCAGTAACATTTTTTTTTTAAAAAAAAGGAAAATAATGGTATCAAACTTCCAACTGCCCTAAGGCTATGTCTAAATAAATTCTAAATCTTACATAAGAAACTCTCCAATTTCCAATATATAGGCCTTAACCAGTTATTTGCTGTACCACATGGAAAACAGCAGAGCGGTCACAAATCAAGACCTCTGATGATATAATAATAAACCATAGCCCAAAACAGAAATGCAAGCAGTATTTATTCATATAGTATATGCATACATTATATATATATATACATATAAAAATAATCAGATGTAACAGATATAACTACAAGTACTGAATTATGTTCAGAATGGCCTGTGATATGTTACTACAATAGATGATATACGCAGAACAAGCTCAATTACACACAGATTTAACAAAAATTTCCAGGAGTCACCACGCAAGCAGACAATTCCTGTTAAACCGACTCCATCTCTTTGGTATACGTGTTTAAAGAGAATAATCCAATTAGTGCATTATTGCATGTTAACTAGGGCTATGTTCCAACAAGCCATTTATTGAAAGTGAAATACATAATAATAAAAGAATTTCCATTAGCTTTCAAGAAGCCATAGGTGTCAGTAGTAGAGGTAATATACTGACCAGAAAACTCTGTGTAACCTCTCATGCTAACGAAGACCATTAAACTAAATTGGATCAAGCGCTGCAGAAACTGGTTTAGCAAGCGAAAGTCTGAAATGAGACTTTTAAAGAGGATTCTCTCAGCAGGGACACTAAAGCATTCAGTTTTTCTTAATTCTCCTCTCAGCAGGACTGTAAGCAGATAAACACAGTGCCTTTAGGCCACCACTGTGTTTAACCATGGGCAACAGTGAATGCTTAGAAAACGAGCTTCGGAACAAGGTATGCAGAAAGCAATCCTCATAGAATCATAGAATCATTTTGGTTGGAAACGACCTTTAAGATCATCAGGTCCAACGATTATCCTAACACTACCAAGCCCACCACTAAACCATGTCCCTAAGCACCACATCTATACATCTTCTGAACCCCTCCCGGGATGGTGACTCC